TATCCTACACTACGGACGCCCTAGTGTATGCACAGTCCTTGTGATGCCAGAAATGCTTACCCCTCTTTCCGGCACAAGGCATACATAAGCGGAGGGTAAATTTACCCCCCAGATTTGCCGATCACGCATCTTCGTGCCTGCCAACGAGTGCACCCGGGTTGTTCCAATGTACCCTTCCCAGTCAGCGATGTCACATTTACATTCTTTAGCGCAAAGTATGTACATAGCAACCTTCCTCCCAAAACATGTAATCCCTACATGCTTTGCCGACTATGTAACTAGTACATCCGGTGCGATTCGGCTAGCTTTCGACCTCCTTCCCCTGGCCTCAAGTTGAAACTTGATCGGAACAGACACAGACAGTGCTACGGTCCTCAGTGCGTCAGTGCGTTCAGCCCTTTGCTTGAGGACTACATGGTGAAGATTTGGAACACCAGCACTGGGAAGTGTTTAAGGACTTTGGAGGGTCACCAGGACGATGTTTGGTCCGTGGCCTATCGCCCGGATGGCCAGCAGATCGCCTCATGCAGTGATGATTTGACCATCCGGATTTGGGACTTCGCCAGCGGCCGCATGTTGAAAGCTCTCACGGGCCATGCAGATTCCATTCGCAAGGTGGTCTACAGCCCGGATGGTCAGACCCTGGCCTCCTGCGCGTGGGATCACACGGTGAAGATCTGGGATCCTGCCAGCGGCAGCTGTTTGAAAACCCTCCAGGGGCATAAGAACGATGTGTGGACCGTGGCCTATAGCCCTGATGGTCGGCAGATCGCATCGGGCAGCGCTGATCGGTCCATTAAGATTTGGGATTTGCACAGTGGGAGATGCTTGAAGACCTTGAAGGGACACAAGGACTACCTGCGATCGGTGCCTGAGATGCTGAAAATGGAACTTTTGATTGGTTTTTTAAAAACATTAGTTTGATTCTAGCCTCGAGTCTTCTAGCCTCCTGCAGATCAACAAGGGCCCTCAAGTCCGTTGCTTTTGTTCAGGACACTCGAGGAATCGCTTTTCCAGCAGGCCCACGTCCAAGCTCCATAATGTGTTTTTGACGGTTTGTTTCGTTGGCTGACCCTTCCCCAAGCAAAACTCAGCTGGGCAACGAACAAAGCTGACCGTCAATATCAGGTGGCCTATAGTCCAGACGGTGCCACACTCATCTCTGGGAGCGACGATCATACCATCAAGGTTTGGAATGTCAGCAGTGGAGAATGCCTGAAAACCTTGAATGGTCACACTGATTATGTTTGGGAAGTGGCCTACAGTCCCGATGGCAAGCGCATTGCCTCTGGCAGTTGGGATGTCAGCATCAAGATCTGGGATAGCAGCAGTGGGAAATGTTTGAAGACTCTCACCGGGCACTCGGATGTGATCGATTCAGTCGCATACAGTCCAGATGGCCAACATTTAGCTTCCGGAAGCGATGATTACTCCATTCGCTTCTGGAATGCTACAACTGCGGAAAAGCCCTCCGGAAGCGCCACCATCTCGAGCTCTCGGCCCGGCCAACGTGCTTGGAGCCAAGCACGGAGATCTCGCAAGGTGGGGCGGAAGGACATGGAGGTTATTGTTTGAGCGTGGACCGCAGATAGAAGTGCGTGTGGAGGCCCTGCTAAGCATAACCATCCGAACAATTCAATAGCAGCATCCAATATCCCATGTGCCAGGCCAGTGGAAAGTCCATAGAAATCCAAAATAGTTATCCTTCATTGCGCATCCCTACATGCCACCCAACCTGTCAGTTCCAGTTGGGTTCAACATACTGTGCAAAACAAGGAAGGGCGAGCGAGAGAAGACACAATTTTGGTGCCACGAGAGGTTGGCCGCAAGGTTTGCCGCATGGGTTGCCTTGCCTGATCCACCGTGACGGAAAATGTCTTTCATTTGTTGGCAGTCTTGGGCATGGGGCGGATCCATCAAGATGGGTTCTGCGAAACACTGTTGGCGATCCCTTCCAATGGTGGGAACGGTGAGCCCGTGAGTTTATGAGAGGGTAGAAGCTGGAAATGCATACGTTGCTTTGGGATTCTGGGAGATGCCAGATACCCTTTGTTTCTACACTTTCCTGACCATGATCAGCAAGGTACGTTGCAGTGGCTCAGGAATTAAGATCCACAAAACCGCAGAATGTCACTTTGGCTGATCTATTTGGCCGGGTGGGTGGGCACATCCCACGCTTCAAGAGCTCAGGTTAAGCACTCAAGAGCTCTTAGTCTTGGTCACTAAACTACTGCGGTGCTTGGAATTGATTCACCTGGTGACAGGTCCCAATTCGAGTTATTGGCCAAGAGTGGATTTGAAACCAGACTTGCTTTGAGCATCGCAAAACGGCAGATCCTCGAGGCACCACACAAACGAACCGTAGATCCGGCAGATCTAAACACCAAGAAACTCGCCGTGGCAGCGAATTGGCTCCGGCGAACGGGGGGGGCCGTGGTTTCATGACACCGGGCGACCGTGCGCAACCGCCGGCGCGCAGCGAGCCGAAGGCAGGAGATCGGAAGCTGTGAGGGCGCGGAGCTGGGCAGAACAATGTTGAAGGTAAAAAGTGGGGATGAATAATGATAAGATAATAATGTCCACTTTTGTTACCCAATGTGTCCATTCTGTGATGAATCCGGTATTATATATATATGATTATATATGCATATTATAGATTCTTGGGTTCCTGGCATCATGCAACAGAACTACTTGTTTGCTCCCTTGTGGAGTTGTCATGGTATAACCATGTGTAAGCAAAACACGATACAGCATGGGCATGGTTTTCTGAAGGGTTCCTCAAGCTGAGGCAAGCCTGCAACATGTATGTAGGATGAATCCATTGCCACATGTGCTTGGAGGTCTCGGCACAAGATGGCTATTTAGTAAGAGGTTCGAGGTCCATGATGCAGCATCCCCGATTAAAATAGCAGCAACATCTTAAAAAGCATTTCAAAGCACTCGTGCAGCTACTAGTAACAAGTGCATCGCTATTCGGAGCAGGTGCATCGCTAGTAGTATATAGAAGCTAGAACAATTCACTTGCTACTAGTAGCCAAGCACTAGGAGTGCGGTGTGTGGATCAAAACCTCGCCTCTCACACAGGCTCATGGTGCTGGAAAGCCGATTAGCCACTTGGCAGGGATTTCGCCCCAGGGCCTGGCCTTTGATTTTTCCCCAGTGACCTGCAGAGCAAAAGGGGAGACCCTGCAAAATCCTTATTTGGGGATTGGTTGCCCACGGTGAATGCCCGCTTTGGTGTGCCCTCGGGTGCTCGCACCCATTTCTTTGTCCTGATCTGACGATCGGATCTGTGTTCGAGGTCGACAATCTCCTTGAATAGATTGTGAGTTTGGTGATGGTTTGGTGCAGATGGAAAGCTCGGTCAAACCATCAGTTGCACCAGGGAACTGAGGGAGTCAGATGAAGGGGGTCTGGGAGCTCTTCGAGTGGGGAAGCTTCACTTGCATCCACAGTTGCAGGGTGGAGGAGGCACCAGGTAGGGTCCAAAACCATCACCAGTTTTTGTTGCGATCAAATTGGGGTTGGACACTCCCGCGTTGGTTGTCTAATTGAAATTCTCATGGTATAGGCAAATCCTAAAGCTGCACGGTTAGCGTCAATCCGGCGATGGATCTAAAGTGAGTAGGTGAGAATTGACCGGCAGATTTGCGGGCTTCATCAGACAGCATGGTCATTTCTGGGAACAAACAATTTCTGATCCAAAACCATCTCGCACTATCTCGCACTGTCAGGATGGTCCTTTTCTTGATCTTTCTTTTTGCTCCTGCTCTCGTGCGCCAAGGCGGAACTCTTGCAAGGGCAAGCCAAGAAGTTCATCAATGGCTTCAATGCCGAGCACTTGAATCTAGGCGTGGGACGCCGGACGTCCGGTCGCATGGAGCCAAAAACACGACAGGGACAGTCCGGACAGGCACACTCATTTGCCAACACCAGAGATGATCTCTCTCAGTCAGTTATATACACAAGGGGGAGGCCAGTCAGCCATTGCCCAAGCTAGATGCAATGAGATCAATAGTTGAGCATGTTCAGCTTACAGCCATCCAATATGAGCTTAGTCCAGCTTGTCTCAACTGGCATGTTGGCCTTTCGCAGTCCTGTTTGAAGTGTCCAAACACAAATACACCAACAATCCCGGAATGGGTTAAAAGACAAAAACATCATGTTGGGCGTGAACACCGTGGATTCCCTTAAGCCAATTCTGGTAAACAAACAAAAACTCCATTGGTCCGTTGATGTTTTCCCTTCCCTGAATCCAGGTGCCTCACGCGCATAAAAAGCGCGCACACCCGTGAGGCTTATTGAGCGGCTTCTTGGAGCTTCGAAATCTAGTGCCTTGGAGCGTTGGCTGTGGAGGGGAGCAGCTCCCTGGATTCACTATTTAGCCAAGTGTTTGTTGGTTTCGCTGTCATCCAATTACTCATGCTTTTTCATTTCATTCACTTTGAATACCTACACGACAAAAAGGATTGGGCCAGGTTTTGGATAAACCAGTTGAAGGAGCCTTTGGCTGAAGAGTCGTAACATGGATCAATGGATTCCAAGTCTCCAATGGCCCAACCCTATAAGTGCTTTGACTTGTGGGATGAATTAACCACAAACCCAAACATCTTGGAGTGTGTCTTCTTCAGCCACTCTGAAGTCATATTATTGGAGCCGAAACACCAATATATAGCTGGTGCACCCTGGCCCTCAGATGCCTAGACTCTCGTTCGGAGGAATTGCTTGAGGAACTCAGCTGGATCTCGTTTTTGGCCAAAACTATGTGCAGCCTGCTGCGAACACTGCGAAGGTGGACCCCAGACTGTGCACTGTAGGCCCTGAACCCTGAGCCCATTGATGAGCTCCTGCTGGGGAGCGATTTGCCATTCGTGGTCAAGGCGACGGCAGGGAGTGGGATTCAAACCCGCTTGGTTTTTTTGGGGCAAACAACATCGCGTTCAATCCTTGTTCCACCCAAGCCATTGCCGAGACCATGACACTGTGACACTGCTCATATTGGATCGTTTGAGGAGCCCAACTCGGGGTATGGCTTGTTGGGTGGGACAGGGAGCATGATGGATGATAAACGATCATGGTAGACCCTGAGGTTGGTATGTTCATTCTATCTCTTTTTGCTTCCAAAGAGCATATTAAATTGTCATAGGAACACAATTCCAGCTAATTTACTGGCTTGAGTGAAGTACTCAGACATCAAGGGAGTGCAACACCTTTTCCAGCATCTCAAATTTTGCCAGTCATTTCCAGACATGAGAACCTCGACTACAGAATCATTTCAATAGCCAATGTAGTTCAAAAAACACCTGGCCAGAAGCACCCCGTGCAGGCAGGAACCCTCTCCTCTGCCATGCTTCAACTGCTGCTCGGCAAAAGAACGCAACATGCGGGTGCGTACCAGGTAGAGGCTTTGTGTTAAAACTCTGGTGACATCCCATGACAGCTCATTGCGTGTTCCAGGTTTTTGGTTCACGATGTCTATCATTTCTAGTCAGCTTCTTGGAAACAAGCGTGCAGTCGACCTTAGGGCGAAACCAGGTCGAGTAGTCAGTTCACATCAGATCAATCTTCGGATGTCTCTGGATTGATGAAGTGTGGCTGGGCAAGGCTCATCACCCCAACTTTGTTCGGTTGAGCCATGTTGAGCCAAGTGGGTGTGTTGAGCCGTAACAGGTCTCAAACCAAGGGGTTTTGGTTTGTCCTTCTGAAAAGGTCCATTCTTTGTGGGGGGGTCTCCGTCTCCCTATTTTGATGCACATCATTGCACACCCCATATTGGTTCTTGAAAGTCTCAAAGCTGGGCAATTGAAGTGGTCCTTGCTTGGTGCCTCTTCGCGGGTGTTCTCCGAGCGATGGCAGGTCGTTGATGCAAGGAGAGCTGGAGATTGTGGTTGATGGGCCCGGCAGCCTGGCTTCCCCGTTTGGGGAAGAGGTTTGTTGAATGCCGCCAGTTGATCAGACCGGTTGATCAGATATGGAGGTAGAAAAATGTAGAGCATATGGAGTCAAAGGAACTCACTGAATAATAGTGCACATATTATAGAATATTATATAATGTTGCTTAAAGAAAGCGCCACGTGTTTTCTACCTCAACATTCTGCAACTTTACCTTGAGCATCTGGACTTGGAACTTGTCATTCTTCGTCCAGTTGGACTCTCCTCTCGTGCTTCTTGGTTGATTTCTCCAGCCCCATGCGAGTGGGGATCATATTAAAACCACCAGTTTCAACTATATATTTATCCGAGTCATAGTCATGACACCCAAACATTGGACTATAGTGTGTAAAGAATGGGACTCCACGAATGCAATTCCCGGAGTCCCATCTAACACTTGCGACAAACAACGTGTTCTGAGTCCCATCTACGATTTGTTCATGCTCTTGTTCTTTTGTTTGCCTTCGTGCTTGGTGGCCGCCTTTCAGGTTAACCTTGGTGATGGCACCTGCCTGCAAGTGGCTCACCAGAGAGGAGGCAACGGACGGAGAAGATTACATGCATGTGAATTGGCGCACATGCACACAAAAGGGGTATGGGGCTTTGGTGGAAGTGTTTTCTTTTGTGGATCACCCACCAACTTAAGTGCCGAACCATGTGGACTAAATGACCAAGAACTTCGGTGTCACCAACTAATCCCCTACGTCAGTGGCCAGGTGCGCCGGGTGTCCGAAATGC